GAAGAATTCACACCAAATAAACAGGGATACCTCTAGCGAATGAGAGAAGGGTTAGAGATGGAGGAAGGGCTTTTTTCTCAGCATTTGTGAGTTATTTTTATGGAGAATGGTTGCATGTGTTATAACTTAAAATTTTTGAGACATATCTCTCACACTGTGGAAGGTGAATTGCAGAGATGACTACAGCTCTCAAGTAGGAAATTGAAGAAGCACATTTCACATTTTCATCTGTGAAGTGATCTTCTAATTAAAAAGGATCTGATCATGAGGATTTTGTACTTTGTGGATCTTAGATGACTTGTTCTTTTCATCAGAGTTATTTCAGTTATCTAGGCAAAAGAGGCTGAGATTCCAAACTGCTGGAATGAGGATTGGAGAGACGAAGAGAAATTTTGGAAGAGAAAAGCATATGAGAGTTGGGGGAAGGAGTAGAATGGAACATAAAATTGAGATGGGGGACACAGGAGGAAGAACAGATTTAAAGGAAGAGGATAATGAATCAAGTTTACTATGTTGAAGACCTGTGGGAAATTCTCATGAAACTGTCTAGCAGATGGTTTGAAAGACCAGTCTGGTGTTCTGGAAGTCATTGGTATTTAGATATTTTAAACCCTGATTGTTGATGGTTGAGGTGATCGAAGGAAGAGTGTGTAGAATGAAAGAAGATGCTTAAACATGGAATCTTGGGGCACTAACATGTAAGGAGATAACAAAGCAATCCCTGAGGTTGACTGAAAAGTTGCGTTGGAGAGTTGTATCCAGTATTCCAAGGATGAAGATGATGTGAGTGGGTCAGTAGTGTCACGTGCCAAAGGAAGTTGGAGGAAGAAGAGACATTTAAATTTGTAGTACTAGGGACTTTGACAAGAATGGGTTGTGGTGGAGAGCCCTCTGGTGGAAGGGAGCATAGCATTTGAGAACCGGAAGGATGGAGCTGAAGCTCAGAAAAGAATGTGAATGAGACTGGCAAAAAGGGTTTTTCATCCTTTGAACACAATGTGATCACTTTCTTATTGGAAAGAAATTAATCAGGGGTTAGTTTTAGTCTCTCAGTGTATGAAGGTTATATGTAAATTTTTCTTTTTTTCTGCCCTGTGAAAGGTAGAAAAGAGCTTTTGAGGAGCTAAAACTTGTGGAGAATAACATTGTGTTCAGCAGTGGGAAGTAAAGGGAGTTAGGAAAATTTTCTCTGAAGGAGAAGTACCAAAGCTGACAGTAAAGAGAAGCTGCAGGGCCTTTTGACACCTAGCTCAATTGAAGTTCCAAAGACATGGACTGGCCCCAGAAGGAAAAGTTAAAGGAACCCTACTGATCAGCAAGTTGCTAACGAAGAAATATCATTGTAAAATGTATTATTGTACATATTTAATTTTTTTTTTTTTTTTTGCGGTACGCAGGCCTCTCACTGTTGTGGCCTCTCCCGTTGCGGAGCACAGGCTCCAGACGCGCAGGCTCAGCGGCCATGGCTCACGGGCCCAGCCGCTCCGCGGCATGTGGGATCTTCCCAGACCAGAGCACGAACCCATGTCCCCTGCATCGGCAGGCAGACTCTCAACCACTGCGCCAACAGGGAAGCCCCATATTTAATTTTTATAGTGCCTTTTCTGGAAAAACTGCTTGCTTTATTACTTTGTTTTCGTATGAAAACTGAGATTAAGTTTACAGGGAAGAAGTTCCTTGTTTGTTTCCTCCTCTCACAAAAGACTAGATAGGAGGATATTCTTTATTACCTTCTCTCCCTTTGTTTTATTAAATTAATAATTACACATAGAGAAAATTGTAGAACAACATATATTAACAGTTAACACTGATTACCCCAGAGTGGACTTGGCCAGGGAAGGCTGAAATTAACTTCTTTTCACACTTCTGTTTTGTTTAACTTAATTACAGTGTTTATAAAGCAGCCAATAAAGTGTGTAGTGTTTATAGGGAAAGGCTAAAATAAAATAAGTTAATAAATATTTGTAGACAGATTAAGAAAATGATATAGAGGTGTACAATGGAGGGAGAGTCTGCCACTCTAAATTCGTATTGTGTATCTTTGGCTATATATGAGCTTTTGTTACTGTACAAAACAACGTAGATTATGTAAAAATATATGTATTCATTAAACTATATACTTTTCCATTTATATCGTGGGGATCTTTCCATATTGATACATATCCATTTGTTTTTTTTTTTAACACCTCAGAGAATTTTTAAAACTTTTTTGGGAAAACTTCATTGAAATACAACATAGAGAAAAGTGTCCAGTTTAATGGCTTTTACAAAGTGAAGACACACATGTAACCACCATCCAGATCAAGATCAAGAACAGTGCTGGTCACTTCATGGGCCTTTCTCATCCTACCTCCAGTAATTAACCTCCTTCCTCCTAATGACAGATAACCACTATTCTGATTGTCATCCATATACATATATCTAATTGTGTCTGTTTTTAAACTTTATGTAAATTGAATCATACAGTATTGTGCGTGGCTTTTTTACCTGTATGTGTGACTGTTTTTGGCCAACATTATTTTTGTGAGATTTATCCATGTGACTTCATATAGCAGTAGTTTACCCTTTTTCTATTTGTTGTAGTAGTCTATAGTAGAATACATAAATACCACAATTTATGCATTTTCCTGTTGATGGGTATTTGAGTTGTTTCAAACTGGGGACTATGATTAGACAATGCTCATATAAGCCTTCCAGTATGAGTTTTTTGAACATATTCTTTTGAGTATGTACACATTTCTGTGGGCTGTATACCAAGAAAAGAAATTGCTAGATCATATGGTATGTGTATATTCAGCTTTAGTAGATATTGCCCAGTTGTTTCCCAAAGGGCCCTGACACTTTACCCTTCCGTCAGCAATATGAGAGTTTCATATATGCCCTGCCAACACTTGGAGTTGATGGCTTTTTGTTTGGTTTTGGTTTTCTATTGTTTGTTTTTGATGGGTATTTTAGAACATTAGCCTGCACAGTATCTTATTATATGAATATACCATAATTTACTCTCCTTTTGCTGGGCTTTTGCCCTCTTGCCCCACTATAGCACAGCCAGAACCTGGACACCTCTAATATCTAGTAGACTCTGTGGTTTGTTCTATGTGTGATCTGTTTGAGGAAGATTTAATACTGTAGGTAACAGAACCGATATATTTGGGTTTTTTTATTAGCAGATTTTCCTCAAATTCCCTCTGTTTTTGAGTAGTATGATACCAATGTAAGAATCCATGTAAAATGGTTTCATTTTGTTGACATGAAAATCAGTTTTGATTTCATGGTGGTACATGGTTGATTTCTTCACTCTTGTTAAAAACTCATGTGAGGGTTTCCCTGGTGGCACAGTGGTTAATAATCCACCTGCCAATGCAGGGGACACGGGTTCGAGCCCTGGTCCAGGAAGATCCTACATGCCGCAGAGCAACTAAGCCCGTGCACCACAACTACTGAGCCTGCACTCTAGAGTCCGGAGCCACAACTACTGAGGTCTGCGCGCCTAGAGCCCGTGCTCTGCAACATGTGAAAAATAGTATAATGTTTGAAACTAGACTTTTGGTGAAAGCATTGCTAAACATGGCCAATTTAATTATACTGAATAATTTGCGTTCTCTTAGAACAAGCATACAGAGATAGCTGCCAGCACCTGCATCACATAGATCTTCAATCCATTGAAAAACTGCTGTGTGAATGATTTGAGAATATAATCTCTTCGGTTTTGGAAAGACTCTTTGAATTTCACCCTTTGAAAGTGAAAGGTGTTTCCAATCAGAGAGCCATGCTTCTCAGCCCAACTTTTCTTTTAACAAAACTGCCCTCCCCCATTTCTGCAAATTTTCTTTTAACGTAGGTTTTTAAAAGTACAGAAGCTAGGGGCTTGCTTTTAATGAGTTAAATGTGATAACCAGACCTCCTGGTTCTTCTTATGTTAGGGGGCGTGATTACTTCATGATAACCACTCTTTCTGTTGTGAGTTACAGCTTTAAACAGGTGCTGGCACAGGTGGTATTCAGTACTATCCAGTTACCATAAGTAATTCCTTGGGAGAGTTTATATACTGTTAACCCTCTATGGTAGCTGAATGGTCTTTTGGAAAGTGCCTTATGGGTGTATAAGACAGTTTTATATTTCCTGTTATTCTTTGCTTTTGCCAGTTTTATGTTGAATTATTCATTTTGGAATAGCTGTAATGACCAGAAGAAGCATGTTATTCTCATACTCTAGTAAGTTTTAGACATGCTTTTTTACCTTCCACATGGAGGTCTTTCAATTTCTTATTTATTGCTTTCAAGAACTTGTTAGTAATAGCTGAAAACTACTGCTTTGTATTGTATTCAGTGTTTTGTTAAGTCTGTTAGAAGAACATCTTTACCTCTTGAGATTTCTTAAGAGGTCCTATTGTAGCATAACTCTAAAAGTCTTCCAACTGTTAGCTATCTATACTAATGAGCCTGAAAATTAATTAACAAATGAGTTAGCCTGAATGAATTAACAAATAATCCAGAAATCTTATTGAAGAGAGTATTTTCAATGACCTCTCCTTTCCCAGCCCCTCAATCTTTTTATCAGTATCAATAATGAGTAGCAAAATGTGCTGGCTTGATTTTTTTTCTTCCAAATATCTGGTAAAAGTTCGAATGTTCTAAACCAGGATCGGGGTGGTGGTGGTGATGGTGGTTGAAGGAGCACAAACTTAATCAACTTCTGACAACTGTTATTTAGATAGCTCTTCATTTATCTCACATTCATGAACCTGGTTTAGAGATTAATTTAGAGACCATTTTTAAGTCTTGGTAAATAAAATGCTTTGACCTCTTATAGATCATTTCTGAATATATCCTTGCAGTCACCTTTTACAAGGAAGCCCAATATTAAAAGCCTTGCTCAAGTTGCAGCTTCCTTATAGAATTAACAGAGAATAAAGTACCCAATAACCTAGAACCAACAGATCCCTCATTAACTTCCCTGTAATTGCAGTATCCACAGCAGCTGTTTCTCTTTCTCCACAGGTATCAGTCAGAGCCGGATCTCTCACTGGCTGTTGCAGCAGGGATCAGACCTGAGTGAACAGAAGAAAAGAGCGTTTTACCGATGGTATCAGCTTGAAAAGACAAACCCTGGTAAATATTTTTTCCTTTTTTTATTGCATCTGAAATGGGACAAATATAAATTAATTACTTTATTGACTCCATAATTGGATTCCATTCCACTCCACAGTGTTCCTTGGTTTGTCTTCCCCAAGGTAGTTTCATACTTTACTGTTGTTCCTTTATGCCAAAGAACACTCTTAACTGTAAAACCTAAGCCATAATTGTACCAATTTTTAGCTTAGTGTCTAATATTATCTAGTCATTTTCACTACTTCCTCCAAGGTGCCTCTTTGTTTTCCAGGTTATATGACATTTCTAACCATAATTTGAAAGAAAGGTCATGATAGTCAGTAGCCAAATTTTTTTCCCTCACCTATAGGTATTGGTACATATAAGATTCCACACCTAGTTTTATATGTGTTTTTGTAAATCTTGTTTTAGTTAGTAATATAAATTTAATACTTTTATTTTGTTCATGCTATACCATATCCAATGATTTCTGCTAATGATTTTCTCTTTCTAATTCTAATTTTGGGTAATGAATGTGTCTTTGGACTTTAGGGTGAAGCTGCCCTGTTGACTTTGGGGGCAGCAGTAGGTTGGAAAATAGACTGAAATCTTTAAAAAGATCACAAAAACCTTTGTGTCAGAAGTTGCCAGGAAGAGGCAAGATCTATTGCAGGATGCTTTTAATGGTGGTATATAAGTAAAATCTGAAGTTTGTGATGGACTCCCTCAATCTACACATTACACAGACTTCGAATATCGAGTATTGAAGACTCTTAGCTAATAATAGCATTGGCTCTGAGGTGGAAATAATGTTATAGAGACATATTTGTGTGTGTGTATCTGTGGTTAGATTTTTTTTTTTCCAAAGATCACTTTGAAAGGCTCAGGCAGACAAAACAGAACAGACCGTATCAATCTCTTCGCAATGAATTTTTTAATCTACCCAGCCCCCCATTTTTTATATTTCAGATATACAGAAAAATTAAGACCAGCACAGCTAACACCTGTTTATCCTCTTCGTAGATACAATAATTGTTAACATTTTGCTATATTTGTTTTATCCCTATAAAATAAATAAATGAATAAATTTTAAAATGTATGTATGTGTGTATACAAACACATACTCTTTCTCTCTTTAGCATTCGTCTCCTGAAAAAAGGGTAATCGCCTACATAACCACAGCCCCTACAATCACATCTAAGAAAATTAATTTTAATTCCATAATAACACCTAATATTCAGTCCATATTCACATTTCTTTAGTTGTTGCAAGAATGTCTTTTGTAACTTTTTTTAGAATTAATTTTTTAATTGAAGTATAGTTGATTTACAATATTATGTTAGTTTCAGCTGTACAGCAAAGTGATTCAGCTATATATATTTTTTCAGATTATTTTCCATTATAGGTTATTACAAGATATTGAATATAGTTCCCTGTACTATACAGTAAATCCTTGTTGCTTATATATTTTATGTATAGTACTTTGTATCTGTTAATCCTGTACTCCTGATTTATCAGCTTTTTTTTTTCATTAAATAGTATGTGATTTAGGTTGACAGATTGGAATTTGTTATGTCTCTTTAGAGTCTTAAAGCTAGTCACTTAAAATTTTTCTTTCATGACATAAACTTTTTAAACCATCTAACCTTACAGAATGTCTCACATTCTGGGCTTTTCTATATCCTCTTAGTGTCAACTAACTTGTTCTTCTATAGCCTGTGTATTTCACATACACTGGAAGTTAGGATTAGAGGCTTGATTAGATTCAGGTTAAATATTTTTTGACAAGAGTACTTCATAGATTGTTTAGGGAGGACATTTACTAATGGCTGCAGTTAACTTTGAAACACATCAAGATAAAATGAATAGGGAGATGGATATGTGATAAACTAGGTATGGTAAAATATTAGATGGTATGGGTACAGATTTTCACTATAAAATTCTTTCATTGTTGCTGTATGTTTGAAATTTTTCACAATAAAACATTGGGGCAAAATGCTTTGTAGGTAATGTATACCTCACGTTACCACATGTCAAGAGGCATGTAGTGTCAGGTAGTAGCACTACTCATTTGCTAAGTTTGATTGTTTGTTAAAGTGGTGGCCACCGGATCCTATTTTTGCAGCTTGTAAATAATCTGTAGGCCATTACTTTGCTGCTGGATGAATAGCCTTTTCTGCAACAAGCTTTGCCAGTGGTCTTAGCGTCCATTGATGATGCTCACCTGAATCAGTTATTCTGATGGGGGCTTGCAAAATGCTGATGATGTAATCTAGCATTCCTTCAATATTTACTAGCTGGCAGTTTTTCTACAAAGAGGAACTTCCATTTTTAGATATTTTTCTAATGATACCTAGATATACAGGCAAACCTCTCAAAATAATGACTCTGTTGTTGCTGCCATTAGTTAAATGTTCTAAAACAGCACAGTTTAGTAGAAATATAATGCAAATGACATATGTAATTTAAATTATCTAGTAGCCACATTTTTAAAAGAAGAAATAGCTAAAATTAATTTTGATAATGTATCAATATTTATGCTTGTATTATCACTTCAACATTTAATCAACACTTCAAAAAATTACTGAGAGCTTTCCTTCTCTCTCTTCCTTTAGTCCTTCCTTTCTTCCTTTTTTTCTCTTTCTCTCTCTTTTTTTCCTTTTCTTTCTTTTTCTTTGAAATAGAATGTGTATTTTACACTTAAAGCACATGCCATCTGCAATCAGCCATATTTCAAGTGCTCAATAACCACGTGTGGCTAGCGGCTACCATATAGGACAGCGCAGTCTAAAGACTCATGTTGAGGCAACACTTCCATCTGAGCTCTAAGCAGTCTTCCCAAAGAGCTGACTTCTCCCGTGACTCACAGCAGAGCAAATCAGATGGAAAGGAACAAAAACTTGGCACTTGGTCTGTTTAATAGAGCAGCTTAGGCTATGATATTGATAACAAGAGTTGGGCTAGGTAAATAAGGAACTGTGCCCAAGGGCTTCATAAACCTGGTCACATGCCAGCAATTGGCTACCAGGGGGAGTATCAGAGGGATTGTTAAGATGTTCCAAAATATATACAGCAGAGCAATGAAGAATTTGAAAGACAAACACAAGTCCAACTGTGCCAGGTAATCAGCCTCCATAAGAGAAGGGATTTTTGTCTCTTGCATTTGGCACTTACATCAGTGCCTGACATGTAATCTAATCATAGCTGGTAAAGCTAAATTACCACACTGGATTTCAGGGCTGGACTTCAATCTCAGACAGGGACTGGGATACCAGGAAAATGAATTCATTACAAGCAGGAAGGCGGACTATCATGTCGGCATTGTTGTAGCTGATCTGACAGCACTGCCGACTGTGGAATACTACTATTGGAATCCAGTTTTGACAGGAAAATGGGAAAGGGCTAACAGCATTCATCCAGCTGTTAATTAGCAGGTGTTTTTTTCTTTAAGGATATAGTGCCTCCTCCTTTTAACAGTAAGTACCCCTAATTATATGCATTTGCTTTTCTATGAAGTTGCATTACCAACTGTCCCCCTGTAAAAGGACTTCCTATTTTTTATTTAAGAATCAAATCCATTCTAGTTCTGAGTTCTTTCTAGCTTCCTAGTCCAGTTCTTTGTAGTCTAGTTTCTAGTTTTCTGTAGGATGTAATTCAGAGTTAGCTGAAAAGAAGGGGATAAGTCTGTAATTGTCAAATTGGTCCTTTTTGTTGCATCAACAGTAATTGGATATTACCAGTTGAAATTTAATTTTTTTTAAGTTTTTCTTTGCACTTTCACCTTTATTAAAAGAGCTAATATGGTATAGAATTTTTTCTAGATAAATGCAGTTTTATTTTATTGAGTTTAAAATAACCCTTGGTTTTAGCTAAAGAATTTATTCTTATTTCATGGACACTTTGGAACTATTATATGATGATAGTTCCAAATTAATATTGTGTGATAAGATGAACTAACATTACATTAGCATCTAAGAATACCTTATCCAGTGTCTAGTCAGTATTCACTTTTATATAATACATCAGAATTTTCTTTGCAAGTCATTGCAGAGGTGATTGGAATCCAACTAAATGTCCCTCAGTTGAGAAGTGGTTAAATAAATTATGGTATATCTGTATAATGGAATACTGTGGAGGCTATATAGCTTTTTTTTTTTTTTTTTTTTGCGGTACATGAGCCGCTCACCGTTGCGGCCCCTCCCGCCGCGGAGCACAGGCTCCGGACGCTCAGGCCCAGTGGCCACGGCCCATGGGCCCAGCCGCTCTGCGGTATGCAGGATCCTCCCGGACCGGGGCACGAACCCGTGCCCCCCACATCGGCAGGCAGACTCCCAACCACTGCGCCACCAGGGAAGCCCTATATAGCAATTTTTTTAAAGGTGGCTTTATATGAATTGAATTTATATGTAGGAATATCAAATTCATCAGTGAATAAAGTAAGGTAGAAAACAGTGGATATAGTATATTGCCATTTATGTAGGGAATACACACACACACACACACACACACACACACACATATGATTATATAAACTTGGAACATCTCTGGAAGGGTATATTAGGAACTGATAAGAATAGCTCTGTGGCGGGGAACTGAGAGAAGGGGAGGATGGGAGTGGCAGGGACACTGTTAACTATGTAACCTTTTTGTGTCTTTCTAAATTTTATTCCATGCACTTGTGTTGTATATTCCAAAAATACATATAAAGTGTAATGAAAATAAGAGAGGGAGGGAGGCAAAGAGGGAGAGAGGCAAAAAATGAAATTAATCTACCTTGTTAATAGCTTTTAAGATATAAAACAACTGAAGAACCTAGGTTTACATAGTTCAGACCTGCTTTTGAGAGGCAGTTAGGTAGAGAAATAAGATGTCAGTGATTTTTATTGATAGTTCTTTTATTTCATGTTTTTTCTCTGTCCAGGACAGATAGCTCATTGGAAGAAATGTAAATGGTACCATCACTTTGCATATATTCTGAGAAAAAATGCAAAATTAAGGACTCACACGGTGAAAAAGTACTT